GAGCTAGTTGGCTGACAGTAGATTTTACCAGAGACGTGGTGTCACGATAGCTTGATGAAATAAGTATGCTATTAGGGTTTTTGTATCTCTTGCGAACCGGCCTTAACATACCCTAGAATGAACTGCATAAGAAATAATATATCATTTGCTTCGTTTTAATTTAGCCCAGACACTGAACAGTCCCAGTGAGGCTCAGGGCGAGCGAGGTCCTCTGGGCGAAATTGGACCCCCTGGCAGAGATGGTACGTCTGGCAACAAGGGGCCAGTCGGCCTAACAGGGCCTCCAGGACCAGACGGTGACCGAGGCCCCCAAGGGAGTCCTGGCGAGACCGGAGGGGTTGGGAAGGACGGACGCCCGGGCGCAGATGGCATCGACGGGCCGTGTGGCCCACAGGGTTCTGTGGGGCCTACAGGGGACCCTGGAGACGAGGGACCGCCGGGAGATCAGGGCCACACTGGAGATCGTGGGGAGCCAGGTGAACAGGGGCCACCAGGAAACAAGGTATCAAGGAAGCCTTTCCTTCCATTTCTTACTGTTTGCCAATACCCTATTTAAATCCGCCTTACGTAAAAAGTTATTACAAGATGGAAAGATCTTGATCTTATATTATCAAATGCAGTATTATATGTATTATCAATATATTTTTATTTAATGACTATGAAAGTGATGTTGAAGAGAATTCGTGCACACTTCTTGATATAATATTTCATACAAATTTAATGCATCAGATAAAAGTCAGTTTTGAAGCTATATTCTTCAATGCATGCTAAACTGAAACAGGCGCCTTGTAACTCCACGTTTCTGGGGTTCATTAGCGCCAGGGACGGTAGAATGACAAGCACATTTAATTATACCCTGTACACTAGTCGAGTCGAAACCTTGGTTTATGCGTGGTACGAAGACATCAGCAATTTGGGTAGCAAATTAGCCTCTTCCATGTTATTCATGGTTCTATGTGTACTGAGTTCTACTGCAACGATGTGTAGAACTAAGAATATTACTTAAAGAAATCGACGATTGCTTCTTCAGCAACAAAGTCTACGGCTATAAATGCAGTATTCCATGAAACCGGCAACGAACTGAGGATGGAAGCGAGGCGGCGGTAGAAACCTGCAGTATCACTTTTTTCTTTGATAAGTAAACTCGAATGGCCAACTGTGGATGTTCCCTGCCTCGTTGCCATAAA